TTCACTACAATATTGTTTCGTATATTGTAGTGAAAATTACATCATGGAAATACAGTAGTTTGTTCTGTAATTTTCTATTTTATTTATTTTATATAATATATATATATATATCGTAATACAGCCTTTTGCAAAAATTATGAGAATTGTCTAAATATCTAAATATCATAATATCCATATCCATATATTGTCCGGAACACGCGGGTTTGCTAGAATAATTCATTGTTGAYATCGAGAAAATGATCAGAACTACGGATAAGTACGTCACCAAAAAAAAACTAAACAACAAAGACAAGGGACTAAGGTCATCGCGCGGGATCATGCACTTGATATTATGATATTTAGATATTTCAACAATTCTCATAATTTTTGCAAAAGGCTGTATATATATCGTATATATTATATATGTACACCATGAACCTGGTTGATCAGAGGATGTGGACATTTTACCGAATTTGAAGCCAGCATCAAATGCCTTGAGATATTTAAAAGAACTACTTCAAGATGAAAATGCTGGATACTTGGACCATGAAATAATTCTACAAGTGAACGCTTATGTCATGATACACCCAGTTCACTCTGGGGAAATGGGCTCAGCCGTGAGAAAGAAATTTCCCTCAATGGGCTCAGCCCACCTCAGAATACATTCCCAGCATTCTCATTGAGGAATATTCCCCGGTTTCATTTATGTCGTTCTGTAACCCATGCCAACAACAGCTAATCGTCCTCATATCCAGAGCTCGCATATTATTATTATCATCCAGCGTGTGAAGACATCTGTCAGCTTTTTAAAACTTTTATATTCGTGACTTAAAACTTCTTAGTAAACAGCGTATTTGTAATCATGGCCTCATCGAGGAAGTATAGTCTTCTAACAGATGTCCAGAGATCTGTTTTGTCTCGATATTTTGATGAAGGCATGACTGGTAAGGGTCAAGCCAACAACACCCTCATTGAAAAAGCAAGTGAAGCTAAAGTTTCTAAGGAAACGATAAAGGTAAGAATTGCATTGATTGAAATCAGTGTTTTGTAGATTTCATATATTTTTGTTGGTTAGTAGGTAAATATGAAATTATGCTCTGATCGTCTAGCTACAATGTATGTAAAGCGTGCGATTATCGTGAGCCCTTTTTAGCCCACCTCTCGCCGCGAATGTCACAACCCGAGCGTATGCAAAAAAATAATAAAAATAATAAAAATCGATTTACTATGAGTTCTTTATTTGTTATGGAATATTTAGAATTGGATTGGGAGTGAACGTAAGAAGAGAAAGGCAGCGGCGAGTTCAAGTCAGGATACGCCAACAGTAGCACAAGCTATAAGAGTTCCGAAAAACATCCCGTATATAAGGGCGCCACTTTTGTAAGGAGTTATTTAACAAAGGTAAAAGTTTATGAAATATTTTCTTTCGACACATATAATAGAACTATCAAATGTTTAACNATGGAATCATGATTTGGACATCGAGACGCTGGAATCTAAAGGTCATTGGGCAACAATGGATGAATTACTACAAGTGATCCCATATCATCTTCCGAGGTACGAGAAGATTATCAAGCAGTGCAAAAATCACCCAAATGACCCTTTGTGTGCCTTAGAGCTTTCCTTTGCCACGCGTTTTATCGCTGTTTACCTTTTCCTTCAAGTGAAATGTAGTAGACCGATGACATTTCAATATCTGACTGTTCAAATGATCGAAACGGCCAAAATCAACGGTGGCTTTGTCGACCAAAAACAGTTTAAAACTGCAAGTACATACGGCTTTGACTCGCTAATGTTCAACACAGCTGATATACAGGTCATCGATGATTTTATACGACACGTCCGTCCACGTCTTGAGCCAAAGTGTGATTATGTTTTGGTCACCCGAAATGGCAGGCAGTACAACAAACTGAGTAATCTGATGACCAAAATGGTTTTCGATGCTATTGGCAAGTACATTCACCCAAGCAGATATCGACAAATAGTTGAAACGGAAAGTGTGAAAAATCTCACCAAAGAAGAACAAGATGTTGTTTCCAAGAATCAAAAGCATAGCTCAGTGGTCGCACGAGTTCATTATCAGAAACAGCACTCGAGAGACATTGCCAAAAAGGGACAAGAATGCATGAAAAAGCTTCAAGGTATCAAAGGCGAGCAAGTAGAAGAATACATTCAATCTAAGCTTTGTGCGTTAAATCAGGCCCCGACATTGTCAAATAAAGATCAAGCCGCCTCAGTTTCAAATGAGGAGCTAACAACAAATGAGATTCAAAACACGCACTACCAGGATAAAACTAAAGTCCCTGAGAAAAGGAGCCAACAAGAAGTAGARAATTCAGACAAATTAGTAGTAAAAAGACTACAATTTACAAAGGAGGAAGACGAGTTTTTAAAAGAGGGCTTACTGCATTACGGTTATGGACAGTGGACGCCCATATTAAGGGATAAACGATTTAAATTCCCGAAAGGTAGAAAGCCAGACTCTTTGAAAAAACGTGCAGATAGCAAATTTCCAACTTTGTGCAAAAAAAAATAAATCAGCAAAATCGTGTAATGCGTAAATACTTTCTTTGAGTGCAAATAAATATACTATTTGATAGTTTAACTACAAGACCTTAATCATATTCCGAAGCGTGAGTGTTAGAGAGTGGGCTATGGTGACATGAAAATAAGTTGCTGAACAATAGGTAGGTGGGTTAGAATATGGAAATAAGTCGGAGAACAATGGCTAACCCACTAACCCACTAACCCACTGTTTGGTCAAAAGAAAGTTTGGATCGGGTTCAACTGCGCAAGTACCAAAGCAGGAAGAGAGTTCTTATATACTTACTTTTCTTTTTACAAATGCCCACGAATAATGTATGCAAGTCCCTCCAAAGGTAGACCATACATTCCCTGTAGCGTGAGAGGCTGCGAGTTACACAGTGGGCTATGCTGTCATGCAAATAAGTTGCAGAATAATGGGTAGGTGGGTTAGAATATGGAAATAAGTCGGAGAACAATGGCTAACCCACTAACCCACTAACCCACTGTTTGGTCAAAAGAAAGTTTGGATCGGGTTCAACTGCAAGTACCAAAACAGGGAGAAGGGATTCTAGTAAAGACCTCGCGCGAAAACTTCAATTTCTACTTGTTTAAAGGGAAGCAAACTTA